GGGGCGGGGGGCGGGGGGGAAGCAACATTAGGCCTGTAAAGTGCTACCACTGCCCAGGTAAATGGTGTTTATGAAGAAGCTGGTAGCTCACTCAGCAAGAACTCTTTCAGAACATTACAAAGAATCAGAACTGAACTGAAAGGGTACATAGTTCTAAAGAAAAACACCTAGTGTTACTTTCTTTTTGCCAAACTACCCTGCACTTTGAAATGACTGAAGGGCAAACTGAAGGCCCCTGAATGACAAAAATAAAAAAATAAAAATAAAAAAATACTTCCAAATGTTGCTGACAAGTGTATAGCTTTTGGGATTCTAGATTTCCTTCTGAAACCAAATGTACCACTTGGGGAACAGAATGGGGCAAGAAGGCTGGACAAGAAAGTCGCTGTACTGATTCCTCTACTTTCTAGGGGGAAAGTGTAAGAGTGGAAAAGACAATGACCTTGGGAGATCAAGATCAAGGTTTAAAAGCTAGGTTTTGGACTTAATAGCTGTGTAAATCTGGATCTATTAACCTCCCCTGAGCCTGAGTTTTCTCACTTGTCAAGTAGGAATGGTAATGCCTAATCTACACACTGATGTGAGGAAAAGGTATATGCAGACAGCAGGTAACTTTATGCTTAACAAACAGTACATGTTCTGTTAAGAAATAAGTCAACCTGTTATTGTAAGACTCCTTTGAATGTAGAGGAGTCCGGGAAACTCCTGAGAAGCAGAAACTCTTAGCTTAACAAATCAGCCAGATGAGATCCTCTGGGGCTGGAGGCCAGGATCTCCTCCACAGCCCCATCTACAACGGAGTTATTTGGAGACAGACTTGACACAGTGAAGCTCTTCAACTGAGACTATATCAGAAAACTAAGTTATTACATAGTATTTTTTTTTTTTTACATTTTAAGAGAAGACCTTTCAACAGAAAGAATATGACCAATGGTAGAGTGTTAAAGTATCAAACTTACAGTTCTCTATGTGGAAAAGAAATGTTATGGGGAAATCATGCTCTTGTTAGCATTAAAAAAAAATACATGGTAAAAAACAAAGTAGTATTACAAGCAACATTAAAAAAATTGTGTGTAACTGAACACATCTAGGGACTTGAGGTCTCTAACGGTGACAAAAATGAAGGACGCATATATTTTTGTATCCACCCCCCCACCCCGGTTTTGGCTTAAAGAAAAACCAAGTTTTGTAGATGAAATGGATTAAGGGTTTAATAAAAAGTATAATCAAATACAGAAGAAGTATCTCCCACCACAGCAGTGATTATTAACCTTGACTGCATTAGGGTGACCCACTTGTCATAATACCCCCAGGATGGTAAACTTATTTTTTTTTTTTTTTTTTTTTTAAGCATTTTTTTTTTTTTTTAAAGATTTTATTTATTTATTTGACAGAGAGATCACAAGCAGGCAGAGAGGCAGGCAGAGAGAGGGGAGGAAGCAGGCTCCCCTAGAGAGCAGAGAGCCCGATGCGGGGCTCGATCCCAGGACTCTGAGATCATGACCTGAGCCGAAGGCAGCGGCTTAACCCACTGAGCCACCCAGGCGCCCCGGTAAACTTATTTTTGAAGGAGGTACCTGGGATGGTCACCCTACTGCACACTAGAATTACCTGGAGAGCTTTAAAAGTTATGATGCCTGGGCCCCACTCTGTGTGGGGGAGGCTCTGGGAGTTTTAAAAGCTTTCCAGGTAAATCTAATATACAGCCAAGGTTAAGAACCACTACTTGACATTACAGGTGCACTGAACTGTGTGGGGATGGCAAGAATATTACGAACGTCATTGTACAATCTCTTATATACCCATCCCAGCCAAGGGTGCTGGAAATGGGGGCAAGGCCACTGCCTTGGAAGGTAGTGGGATGACTGGGCAAGGGGATGCTGGGTCCTACCCTTGCATAGCCATCTGACCTTGGAAATGCCATCACTGATACTCTCTGTAAAGTATGTAATGACAGTAAACACTTTGCAGATTCTTGGAAACGTAACTGTTTCTGGCATGGTACCGATGCCTGGCAGTGTGTGCATATAATGAGCACAAACCAAGACTATTTTACCCCTACACCTGCCATGGGCTGCTATCTTCCAGGAGTGTAATGGGAGATAGAGAGCAGTTATAAATGGGTGGTTTCAGTGAAGGAGTAAATGCTGTATCAGTGATCTGATCAGGACGCTCCCAGCGGCTGGCTGGCCTTGGCAATCCTGGAGCATCTTGACTGAAGTCAGGTGGATGGGGTGCCAGGTGCCTGCAGAGGCACATTCATACATTACCTCAATATTCCTCAAAGTACACCTTCAATTATCTGCTGCTTCTAAGATAACAGAGCTGCAGAGGCTGTGTGTCTTTTCCCAGGTCATGGAGTTGGTCAGCTGGTGTCTAATCAAAATTCTTTTGCTTTCTGATAGCGGGCTGTGTGAGACTGTGAACTGAAGTCACAGCATCTGCTGTCACTCAGGTACTGTTCTTACTTCCTGCCTGGGGCTGTCGAGCTGCAGATGAGTCAAAAGTGTGGCAAGTTCCAGGGCTGTTCCTTCTTTCAGGCCTTGTCTTCTCAGGCACCAAGCCCCATCTAGCCTCACACCTGCAGGACCTGGCACAGGCTTCTACACCATGGATCCTGCGAGGCTGCAAGCACTGTGCAAATACCGTGCAGCAGAAGCCAGGCATCTGGATGTAAGTCCTGGGTCTGTGCAGCCTTGGCTCCCCAGGAATTGTCTTCCAGAATATAAGGAGAATGAGCCCCCAAAACGCTTCTCCAGCAGGGATGTATGGCAAGGTAACACAGGAGCTTAAAATAAAAAGACAAGGTTTCCTAGGACTCGGGTGACCTAATAAATCAGACTGCTCTTTTCCTGAAATGGGCTGAGGCACGCGGTTTACAACTTTTTCCAGGTGATTCTGCTGCCTCGCCACCCCTATTCCATGATGAGAACATCTGGATTACAGTCTCTGGACCCCCTCCTTCATTCCAAGGATGGCTTCTGGAAATTGCAATTAGCTGGGCTGGCATATGTGAACAAAGAAAATGCAGTCTACCCCAGGCAGCTTGAGAACAGTCAAAACTGGGAGGCCTCACTCTGAGGACCTTGTTTACCCATCAACAGCACAGGGCTTGGCACAGGAGGCACTCAATACATACTGGTTGAGGGAATGAATGAATAAATGAGTGAATGAATGAAATGTCAGCCTTCATGGCAATGATCATGAAAATGTTTTTTGTTCTTCCTCTTGCCCCAAAACTGGCCTGGATCTCTACTTAAAGGCAAATATACCAGGGCAGATCCTGGCATTTCCCCCCCCCCCCCCACACACTGGTATCACTGAATTTTTAAAAATATACATTAGTTTGACATAATGTCAGGGAAGGAGGCTCAATGGAATAATACCCTCCTTTGTCTGTCTTCAAAATGCATCTGTAATGAATGTTATCAGCATAACAAAACCGGATACATACAAAAGGGTTATCTTTCAAGGCTATATTATATCTAGGATAAGAAATAATTTTAAAGAGTGCATCCTAGGTGAAAAAGAACATCAATATCAGATGATTAAAACAGGCTAACGTTCTCCTGGCATTCTGAAGAGACTATATGACACTGATTTCTAAACAACTATTTGCTGGGATTCGAGAACCCTCCACCAGTATCTCCTATTGTGTACACACATGACCGAGGGGCTGAACTTTGCATCCCTGACTCAGAGAAAGAAAAAGGCATACATTCTTATTCTTCCTCCTTTCCTCTAGGAAAGCAGGACAAGCTCCTGGAGACCACGGCTGTCTTAACCTTGGTGACTTAAGTTCTAAACTCAAGAGATATAATTCTTAAAAGTGTAACACATTACAGTTCAGCTGTGTAGACTTTTAAATAGAGGACAAAGTGCTAAGTCACTTTTTAACTTGTTTAATGTTAGGCTAATTGTTCATTATCCCAGTTTTTAAAGTCAGCGTTATTTTAATGCGCTACATTTACACAGAGGAACTTAAGTGTTCCCTTTCTTTCTCTCCTTTGGTTTCTCTTTCCGGTGAAGAAATAGTCACTCCTTTGCACCCTGACTGAAACTGCCCAACAACCCAAGATAGCAAGAGAGAAAGGACAGCTGGGATGGGGAGGTCTCACAAAGGCTGCATCAGCGTCGGAGCAAGTCAAAGCTTCACCATCCACCCTCCCCTGACTCCCCTCTCCGGCAGAAGGTGCCCAGGTCCTCCGTGCACAAGCCCATCCCGGGGCACAGGCCGCGCAACTCCCAAGGAAAGACAATGCCAGTCCGGTTTTCAAGTTTATTGTTGGCACTCTCACACCGAGGGCACACGGTCTCCAAGGCGAGTCCTCATCTAACAGCGTGGTGCTAGGAAGGGAGGCGCGGGCGCAGGGGCTCACTGCGTGGTCTCCCGGGGCTGGTCAGGCCGTGGCGGGGCTGCGGGGTCTCCTCCAACTACGAACGGAGAGTCCCACCACGTCAACGCTTACCTCCCAGGCCCGCAGGAGGCTTTAAAAATGGCCTCCTGACGACACTTCCTGCTCGGAGCGACCGGTAGAAATCCTCGCAGGAGATGCATCATTTAAAACGCTGGGGGCGGGCGGAGGAGGCCGGCTCGGCGGCTCCACACCCGCGGCCCCGCAGCCCGCACGCCGCCGCCGCGACTCGCGACCGACGCGCGGGGGGCGAGCCTGCGGGGTCGCGGCGGCACAAAGGCCCCGCATGCCGCCGCCACCGCGGCCCCGGGGTCTGCGCGGCCCCCGGCCCGGAGCCCCCGTCTGTCCCCAGCCCGCCCCGGGGCCTTCACGCTACGACGCGGCTGGCCGGTCGACCGCGCGACACGCGGAGACCGTGGCCCGCACGACCCGGCCCCGGACTGCCCGCCCCGTCCCGCCCCGGCGCGGCCTCCTCAGGCCGTCTCCGGCCTCGCGCGGCCCCCGCAGCCGCCTCCGCGCCCCCGGCCCACCCCGCCCGTCCCGTGCGCGAACCCGGGGCCCTCGCCCTCCGGCGCAGCCACTCACCCGGCCGGCGGGTCCCAGCTCCCGGGAAGGGGCGTCTACACCGCCGGCCGCAGGCCGCCACCGCCTCCGCCTCCGCCGCGCCCGCTGTAGGTCCCTACTCGGGGGGGCGGAGTCGGGCCGGCGCCGCGCGTGCGCAGTACGACGCGGAGGCTCGGCTGCGGCGCGGGCGGCGCCAGTGGTCACAAGCCAGAGTCTGCCGGGGTCGGGTCTCCATGCTCGGGGGAACCGGAGACGCGTCTCGATCCGGTTGCTGGGCTCCCAGCTCGACCCAGCTCGTCCACACCCACTGCATGCAGTGGCCTCTGCTTGGCTGCCCGCAAGCTCAGGAGCCTCCGACAAATGGGGAACCATCTCCTTCCAGTGTCGCCGGGGAGGACTGTTCGCGAGCGCCCAATGTGTGCCCGTGCTGGGTGTAAGCCGAGGGCGCCGTAGCTCCCTACCCGCATGGAGCTTGAAGTCCGGCAGCGACTGAGGGAGGGCGAGAGAGAAAAGGAGCCCAGCTCTTCGACCTCCAAATTCTTCCTCTTTTGAAAGCAGCCGTGAATGATATGGCCTTGAGTCGGATTCGAATCCCGAGTCTCCCGGACTTGTTTGCATTCTAGCTTTGGGACCTTGGGCAAAGAAGCTCCCTAATCGCCTGACCTCTCTGATGCTGGGAGTTGCCCTTACTAAAGGGGGGGGCGAAGACCGACCTGCAGCCCAGAGCCTTACCTATCACGTAGGTGGTTGTTGAGGACCAGGCAAGACAATGATTGTTGGGAGAGTCTGGAGATGGTGTGAGCTCCTTAAATGCTAGTGTTTTTTCCTGCTACTTGGACTCCAATACCATTTTCCCGGAACCTCGCTGCATTCCAAGCACACGCGCACTTTTGACCTTCCGGAAAGAAAGTGTGCCTAGAATAGACCCCTCTCTGAGGAAAGAAGGGGACCAGTCCCAATAATCAATGACTCAGATGCGGCTCCCTACAAAATGCAAGTGCTCCCAAGGAACGGCGGACTGTGGCAGGGAGCAGCGGCACCGGCACCGGCACCGGCAAGCACGGTTTCTCCAGGAATAACAGCCGAAAGTTTATTTCAAAGGTCCGGAAGGAGCACGGCTGGTTTCCAACACCTTCCTGTTGGAGGCCGGAGGTCAGGGTGCGTGGACATTGGCCGGAGGCAGAGAGGAGAGGCAGAGCTGGGGGCGGTTCTTCAACACGGAGAAGTGAAGTTCAGGAAGACAGTGTGAGGCACAGGGTCAGCAGCCAGGCAGAAATGCCCACCGCTGAATAGCAAGAGTAGGGCAAAGAGAATGCCAATCCCGAGACTGAACATCAGCCGCAAATTCTTGCCCCTGCTCTTGCTGCAAGACCCGACCTTCATTCCTCATAAGGGAGCCTCCTGGTCCTATATCTCCTACGGCTCAGAAACTCTAGCGGACCTTTTCTCAGAAAAACCCATTTGTGCACAAAGAGTTCCGTCTCCCTCAGAGAGGGGTGGGCTTGGGAAGGACACTGAGAATCTAAACGGCCTAGAAATCGCTTAGTGGCAGAAGCAACTAAATCAGGAAACACTGTTAATTCTAAGTATCAGAGAATCAGAAGTCTAAGCATTAGAGAATTTTTCCTAAATCGTAGCTGAATTGTTGCCTCTCCTTGTAACTTCCACTCATGCCTTACAGTTCTGCCCTCTTGGGTCACACAACTGATGAAAGAGTACCTCTGGCTTTCCTGGCAATTTTTCTGGAGTTCGATAGAGCTGGTTATGAATTCCAGGTCAGGCACAGAGAAGCTGTGAGCCTGCTCCCTAACCTGTCTGAACCTCAGCTTCTAATGTAAAATTCAGCGAACAGTAAGACCTAGCTCACAGGTGAATTGTCTACCATAGACAAGAGAAAGCAGGTCAAGGCTGAGTGCAGTCCCTGACAGATTCACATTTCCCAGAAGCCCACATTCAGTCAGATTAAAATGCTTTGTGGAGCGTCTGCAAGTGGGAGTGTTTACAGCTTGGAAAAGGGCCAAGAAGGAATAGAGATCACTCCCATTCAAACCCTTAAAGTTGACATACTGTTCCCTCTTTAAGAAAAGGAGACTTCACCTGGAAATGTTATTTCTGGACCTTCAACGAGGGCACATGGCTGACCTTTACAGCTGCCGTTGTGTCTTCTTCCCTGTCCTGCTTAGTTTGCCTGAATCCTTTTTCAGTGTTCCATAGATCACCTCTGTTATATGTTGAATTATGTCCCTGCAAAAGATACGTTAAAGCCCCAATCCTCAGTGAATGTAAATGCAAATTCACACCTGTGGATGTGACCTTATCTGGAAATAAAAGTCTTCCCAGACATAATTAAAATGAGGTCATTAGGTGCGCCCTAATCTAATGCAATTGGTGTCCTTAAAAAAGAAGAAATCCAGAGAGGCAAATGCCATGTGAAGACACAGAGAAATACAGGGAAAGGTCATCATGCAAAGACAAGGCCAGTGTGGGGTTATGTTGCCACAAGCCAAGAAACTGGGAAAGGCAAGAAAAAAATCTCTCCCTATAGCATTCCCAAGGAGCATGGGCCGGCTGACACCTTCATTTTACACTTCCTCTCCAGAATGGTGAGATAATAAATTTCTGTTTGTCATAGCAGCCCTAAGAAACTAATACAGGCTGCTGGATTTGATTGTCTGATGAATAGGAGAGGAGGGAAGACATGTGAACAAAACCGGTCATTGAGTATAAGGGTTGGGAGATGTCCATTCATTTACTTATTCATTCAACAAACATTCACTGAGCACTAATTTAGTGCAGATACAAGCAAGCTAGGTGCTGAGGACAGAGTACTCGAGGAACAAAATCAGGCTTCTTCAGGGAGCCTTCCTGTTGCTAGGGGTGGTGATCAGACAACTAATGGAATATATAATTAATATTAGGGAGGGCTAGAGGTCAAAGGGGAAAAATTAGGTAGTGTGGTGTGGAAGGGAATGCAAAGCAAGAGAAAGGATGATCAAAAAGGCTCAGTGAAGGGGACTTTGAAGATGAGCTCTAAGCCATCAGTAGGATCCAGCATGGGTAGATGGAAGAGAGCTTCACACATAGGGTAAGAGCATATGCAAAGACCCTGAGATGGGCAGAGTTGGGCATGTTTGAAGGAGAGAAGGAAGGACTGCAGTTCTAGATAATGCTGGATTGTGATCTTGGGGAGTCATTTATTGGGATTCTGCTAGTGAGGACCTTATGGCTCAGAGGAAGGGACTGCACTCTCAATGTGCCCCCAAAATGGGCCAGGTCTCTTACAACAGGGTCTGGATCTTTGGGCTAGTTGCGGGAGTTCAGGGGGAGGGGGCGGAGGCGGGCAAAGACATGTACATCTCAGGCATTTCAAGACTGTGCATAAAGATGAGACTCTAGGCTTTGTTAGTTTGTTTAATATATTTCAGAAAAGTCTAGTAAGTTCTTTGAGCTTTAGTTTGCTCACCTGTGAAAGAGGGGGAAAACGTCTCTTTGCGCAGGTTCTCCAAAGTCGTTAAGGACTACAAAGATACTCAAATTCAGCGCCCCTCCCATTCCTGGGACGCATTGGGTGGAAACTGCAGAGTCCCAATCCCAATCCCGTTACTTTTTGGTGCGGGCTGTGTGACCTTGGACAAGTTACTGCCCGTCTCTGAGATGCTTTTATCAACTCAAAAGGGGGCGGACAGCCGCGCCTGAGACCAGGCTTGGGTTCCAGACACCCTTTGCCACCTGGCTGCACTGCGTTCTGGGTGCACGAGCCCTGCTCCGCAGCCTCTGGAGCCCCGCGGGCCGGCGCAGTAGGGATGCGATGCGAGAAGCAGCGCACCGGGCACGCGCGTCTGGTAGAAATATTGGAGGCAGTCTTTACGCCTTCCCGCCCCGCCCCCGTCCGCTATCGCCCTCCCTCCCTCTCCCGCGCCGCCTCCGCGAGCGCGGGAGCTGTAGTACCTCGGGTGGCCTCTGGCGTCGCTGCGCGGCCGGCCCCGCGGGCTCCGCGCCTGTAGAGCTCTACCCAGCGCGGGCAGCTTTGCGTTCACCTGACCGCTAGCACAGCAACCTGGGCGCCCCGAGCCAGCGGCGCGACCTCCCCCAGACTTGCTTCTTCGAGATGTGCTGCTTTGCTTTTGTTTCTCCTAGACCGCGGGAGCGGCGGGGGCTGGACTCTCCGCGCTGGCGAGATTCCCGGCCCAGACGCGTGCGCTCTCGCTACCGGCGTTTGCAAGTTGGTATTTAACCAAAGGTAAATGCCTCCCTGGGGGTCCAGAAGAGTGGGATCAAAGGGGCTCCTGATGATTCATATCCTCCCATTCTTCACATTTTCTTTGACAAGTAAGTGTGCCCCCCCTGCCTCTGGACTGTCAGTTCCACCAGCGCACGTGTCCTAGTCACGGCTATTTTATACATCAGTGACGCGCCAGAGTTAGCATATGCCAGGCCCGAACAGACCCGGCTTCCAGGACCAAGCTGGCCTGAGCCGCCAGCGTCCCTTGCTTGGACCAGGGGGTAGCCAAAGCCTGAATAGGACAGGGCCGTCCCCGAAGAGGTTCCTGAGGGAGATACAAAAGGGAGTGCAAAACAGGAGAGGAGCGTTTAGAACGTTCTTCGCAATCCGACATAGTTTCGGCATCCCAGCGCGGGATCCGCGGAACAAGGTAGGGGAATTCGGGTGTGTACTCTAACTCAGGTCTCGTGGCCCAAGCTGCGTCAGTGGTTGGCTGTGTGTTGAGAAAGGGTGGGGGCGGGGGAACACCTGGTCCTTTGAGGCAGATCGCTAGAGGCTGCGGTGATAGCCTCCCGCCCCAGCTCCCTGCTTCCACTCTCAAACATGCTGAAGCATCCAGAGTGCCCCTTCCACAAAGCAAGTGGGATGGAGCCACTCCCCAGCTGGAGTCCTTGCAGAACCCTCCAGTCCTATAAGACCTGACCTCCAACAGCATCCCTTCCTCCCTTCTCATTCCTGTGCTCTGCCATGCTGGCTCCCTCTGCAGCGCTGATGCACAGGGCTTCTGTGTCCCAGGACCCTAGCAGGCGTTCCTTCTGTCTGTGACATCTCTCATCTTTCTCCTCTCAACTCAAAACCCTTCTT